CGTTCTGTAATCGAGTACGTAAGGTACCGCTCCTTGTCGTCCTTGGTCGTGGAGCGGCTCATCGTAGATGGTTGGCAGTCGACGGGTGGGCCAGGTCGAGATCTTGCTTTTGAGAATTCTCAAAGTGCCAAAGCCACTTGTGTTGAGCTGTGCGAAATGCGAACTGAGATTATCCTGGCGTTAGCTACTTATGCAGGGCGCTCCCTGGAAAAGGCCTTCCTTTGAACCTATGAATGCAGTCGCCACAAGATCGGTCTGGGTTGCCTCTTGCGCCAGTGAGGACAGGCTTAAGTGACGACAGGGTGCGGAATGATGTCACACGGGTCAATCTGTTGGTGATGGGGAGTCGACGGACTGTGAAATCCTGAATGAGCCGACTTGGCAATCGATGAAAGCGACTCGTCTCCGTTGGAGACAATCAGAAAATCGTGATTGCGGATTGCGATTTCAGAACACGCAATTATTGTGAAATCAATCATCATTTTTTATAGTTTTGGATTGCAACTGATTTTTTTAAATCTTTTTTGTAGAACTAACTACACCGAATTATCGGACCCTGACAAAAAAAAGTTTTAACAGATTTCGTTTGCCAGTTTTGTGAAAACTTCGGTCCAAATTGCAAATCAAGCATACGGAACAGAAGTATCGTCGAGCTCCGTCCCTAATTCACGAGATTGAAAAACACTTCACATTTGTGATGTCACTTAAGTACCAACGTACGGTACGACTAGTTTGGAAGCACGACTAATTATTATAGAGTGATCGGTGTAGTTATGTCATGTAGTGTGCGGAATTCTATGGTATTCAAACGATCGTAGGAAATCCAATTTTTGTCCGAACAAGTGGCTGAAACCCAAGATATATCGTAAATTGTAAATTTTGTAGCGTTTAGCTCAGGCGGTGCGGATTGTCTTACAACTGTCGACTGTCACCGATCAAACCAGTAGACTTTACTTCGTCACAGAATTGGGAGCGAAAGTCACGCCACACTTCTCGACGCAACAGATGTGGAAATCATTGCCCGTGTTACCTTCGTCACGGCATGCCTTGCTGACTGCAAGGTTCGCTTCTGAGTATAACGGCTGGCAACCTGTCGACAAATCACAATACGGCGGGGGCTTATACAGTGGGTCCTCAGCAGCGGCGGCAGTCGCGACGACAGCGAAGAGGACTACGTGGAGGCAAGTCTTGAGGTCCATTACGTTGGTGGTGTTGGCGAAGTTGTGTTCGGTATTCAGCAAATAGCGGACTGGCTACATGAATCTGAGGACTTAACGTTCGAGAAATGTTGGGAAGGATGGGAGCAGCAAAACCAAAAAACCAGTTTACCTCGTAATCATTTTATCGTCATCCAACAACATTCGAGGAGCAGTTTCGTTTGGTCAACCTTGCAGTAAACATCTTAACAGTGAAGTCGCTAGTGTACTGGAGTGCTACACTAGCTGGCATATTTTCTGAATTGAGGGTTTCCTTACACTACCCCAGCGGTGCCGGCATCAATAATTGCCTGCAGGCGTTGCGCATTTGTGTGCTGCGTGTCGCACATTTTCAAATACATAAATTAGTGGGAGCCCACACCAAAAAATAATTGCATAAGTGCCACCAATTTCCAGAGCCATGTGACCACTATTTCCCAAGTTCGACTTTTTTTACAAATCCTATTGTTGGAGTTTTTACATCGGTTGCAAGAATTCCGTGTTGTCCGGTACTGCTGTTACAGTTTATTGATATTATTAAAGTAAGTAGATTAAGTAGCTGGCAGCAATGCACAAAAAATGTACTGCGTTATTAGCATTTTATACTGTAGATATCGTGCATCGTAGTGGCAATCCAATTTAAAGTAGCTTAAAACTTTAAAAAGTCAAAGTTGGGTTTGTTCACCCTGGTGTATATCGCGACCTCTATACGTCTTAACATTCCGCTTTTGACGATCTATTCTTACAGAATGATCATGCATCTCAATTCTTGTGGGCAGATACGTAGGGCAAAATGCTGCTTGAGATTATAGTATCCACTACCAACTCTATCTGAAACAAGTGGAGCCGTAATCTATCATGCCGTGATGTCCCTCTCGTCAGAAAAGTAGATTCGGAAGAACACGTAGAAACCAAAGAGCGCGAGGATGTAAGCCCCCATGAGGAAGATGGCGGCTTTCGACATGGGAGCTTCTTCGGAATCATGATGAACTCCAGCCTGCACTTGCAGAATCCCACTAGCATTCATCGTAAAGGTGACGGGATGCGCAAACTCTCCCGCCTTGCCGATCTTGTCTCGAGGTAGTGCGAAGTTGAAGTAGCAGATGTGGTCATTCTCCTTGGCGATCTCCTTCTCACCCTCATAGACCTCAACAGTGAGTCCACGCTGATCATCCTCATATGTCTGGAAATATTTCGTCACCGTCGTCGGGATGCGCGCATTTCTAGGAAGAATCACCTCCATGGTACCATCCGCCGTCTCCAATCCAATTGGCAGTGGAAGGACGTCCATCATGAGCACGTCACGGAATACACGCTGGTCCATTCCACTCAAGATAGCAGCCTGGATAGCAGCTCCCTCACACACCACTTCGTCAGCGTTCACGGACTTGCAGAGTTCCTGGAAAAAAAAGCATCGATAAGAACCATACTTACATCAATAACTGCTGCAAATGCAACGCACTTTGCCGTTGAAAGCCTCGGAGATCTTGGTGCGCAATACCGGAATCCGAGTGGATCCTCCCACTAAGATTACTTCGTCGATGTCGGCAGCATCCACTTCTGCGTGTTTCAGCACACTCGCCACGATACGAAGACACCTACATCAACACACGTGTAAGTCAAACTAAACAGCAGGCACCATCACACCACACTGAGCCACGGACTTTTTCCAGATGGGGTCGCAAAGCTGCTCAAACTTGCGCCGCGTTAGTGTGTACTTGAACGTCGACACTCCGGCGATTTCATACACGGTAATATCTGCAGATTCTTGCTCCGACAGCTCTATCTTCGCCTTCTCCACTTCTCGTTTTACTCTCACCATATCTCCTTGCTCAACTTGCGCACGCGTCACATTATGACGCTTGTACAGCACGTCCAGTAAATGGTCCAGTAGAGTATTATTGATGTCCTCTCCGCCCAAGTTTGTATCGCCTCCAATCCCCAGCACCTCGAACTTGCCATCCTGAATACTCAGTAGTGACACATCCAGCGTTCCTCCTCCAAAATCAAACACCGTCACGAGCTTAGTACCCGACAGGAACAGTCCGTACGCCATAGCCGCCGCTGTAGGCTCGTTCAGCAACCTCACAGCCTTAAACCCAGCCATTGAAGCACTGGTAATAGTTGCTCTTCTCTGTGCGTCACTAAAATACGCCGGTACCGTAATCACCACATTGTCCAGCTTGGTCTGGCCGTCGAAATAGGCCTCAGCCGAGGCTTTAAGCTCTCTTAATACACAAGCAGAGACCTCCTCGGGCTGTACCTGCACCTTTTTGTGGCCTCGGACTACTTGAACTGCAACGTTTCCTTGAGCTGTGGGTGCCACCTCATAGGAGGCGTAGATCCTGGCCACGTCTACAGCTTTGTTCTCGAATCTCTGTCCCATCAGTCTCTTAACTGAGCGGATGGTGTTCCCCACGGGCTCTGAGGTCTCCAGACCAACGGCTACATTGCCGACGTCTACGCTTTGACTCTTAGGGTCAAAACGCACCACAGACGGCGTCGTACGGCCGCGATCTAGACTATTCTTGAGGATTTTAACGTGGTTACGGTCCACATACCACATTCCCACGCCTATAGAGAAGGTTTAGAAGTTAAAAGACGAGGATTATGGAAAGAAAGGTGCATTAGCGTAGTGTACATGAGTTGGTGGTGCCTAGGTCGATGCCCAGGCAGATTGAGCCGTCCGCGAAGCGCTCGGCGGCGCTGCCCCAACTATCGTACGTGTTGGTTGTCATGACAGAGTGAAACTGACGATGATTGGATATAAGATATAAAGGATATACAGCCAATCATACATGTAGTAATTAGCATTTTTGGAGCACTCGATTTTCAGGTTGTATTTCGAACTTTGTCCGAAGATTGCGACCAACGAGCCCAAGCTCCGGCCGCTTGGGGATATTCGTTGAGGTGGAAAGCAAGAGTCAGTATTTCTGTTCGTTTAAAATTTAATTGCAAAGTACGCTGGTCGTAAGAATGAGAAATTCTGTTCCAGAGCTCCGAGTTGTTAACCAGATTTCGGGAAGTTCTTCGCATGTGGAAATTTCAGTCGCCGAGCAACTCCCGAGTTTTATTTGGGTTGGTAACTTTGAGTTGCTAAACCGCTACATACTGTATCATGATAGTGACGGTTCAAGTCCCTTCAATGTTTTTGAAACGGTTAAGGTTAGCTGTTTCTACTTACATGCAAGAATACAATCGAAGCTATGCTTGCTTCCCAAATGATATATTCGTAAAGCTACATCTGGCAAAATCCCCTACCCAGTGCAGGACTTCCTAGAATACTGTATGGGCGGACGAATATACACGGGAATATAAGATATGGATAGCGAAATAACAAATTGAAAAAGAAAAACGTAGTTAATGACAATCCTTCAGATTTACTACATCTATTTTAAAAATGTTAAAGTATTATATTGTTGATACTGGACGACCAAACCCACGAGTGGTTCAAGCCAAACACTTTCTGGCTGCACAGAAACTGAAGGCAAAAAAATCAATATATGTAATTGAAGGTGATATCCAAATGTCGAAACAACGTATCATTGTAATGCGCTTGAAATTTGCAGTATCCTGTATGGGAGACACCATGCATAATTAGGAAAATTTGTTAGTTGGTGTCCTCTCATATGTGGATCCAAACCAAATTGCACAATAGCATAACAGTCGATATTTCAGCTCATTCGGATTGGGGTGCGTATGTATTCAAATGAAATTCGTTTTGAGCGTCCGATTGAAAAAAGCAACGTTACATTGAAAGCTCGAACCGTTTTGAGAAAACGTTTAAATCTACTCCCAACTGGAAGGCACTACCTAAACTACCATAAGCACTGATAAATGTATATTTAGCTGTTAGTTTGGAAAGTGCCTTCTGGAGTTCTTCTGTCTTATCTAGCTCGTCTTATTGCACGCGTATTACCGTTCTGTTTATGGTAACAGAAAAATCTTTGCGATCACTCACAGACTTCATGATGGACTCTTCTTCTTAGCGCCAGCACCGCCTGCATATAAAGACTACCTGATGTAGACTACATTGTTTCCACACGTGATAGTTATACAATGGGCACTTTGCCAAAGTCACTTTGAGATTTATGACCAATCATATTAATGCTCTTTTTTTACAAATCGGGTTCAGTTTTGTGTTTTAGCCAATACACGCAGTGCAAGTTATTGCGGAAAGTATGAAGGCAATTATGTCGCGGAGGAAGAAGGCGCCAGCCTTCGTGCCTATTAACGAGCACTTCCAGCGAGCATCGACTCTATCCCGTTCTCCAGTACAAGAAGGAGCAAAGCCTGCAGCTGATGCTATCGACTTGACGCTGGACGACGCACCACCGAGTCGACAGAAGCGCCAGCGTTCCTTCTACGAGGATTCCGAAGACGAAGCAGAGAACGGAGAGCCCAATACAGCGCTAGACTTGATTCGTCAGAGTAGACGGCGTTCAACAGCGTCCAGTGGTCCTTCACAAGCCAAGAAACGAGCTGTAGATACGTCAAAAACTCTAAATGATATTCTAACCAGAGCCAACCGGAAGGTCTTTGGTAACGACGGCTTCAGGAAGAATCAGAGAGAAGTGATAGAGGCCACAATGCGAGGAGAAGACTGTTTCGTACTCATGCCTACAGGAGGCGGCAAGAGTTTGTGCTACCAGCTTCCTGCGGTGTTAAGCAAGGGCGTAACAATTGTAGTATCGCCGCTGTTATCGTTGATTCAAGACCAAGTGACAGCGTTGATCCAGAACCCTGGATGTGGCATCCCTGCAGCATTTCTGACTAGTCAAACGTCGTTAACACTCAAGAGATCTATCACAGCCGAGCTGAAACGCTCTGCGCCCAGTGTTAAGCTGCTGTACTTGACACCCGAGAAGGTCATCAAGTCGCCAGAGATGATGGACTTGTTGAAAGACTTGCATCGCAACAAGATGCTCGCCCGGTTTGTGATCGATGAAGCCCATTGCGTCAGCCAATGGGGTCACGATTTCCGACCGGAGTATAACCAGCTAGGTATACTCAAGAAAACCTTCCCTACCGTGCCATTGATGGCACTAACAGCGACTGCACCGCCCAAGGTTATTGATCACGTGAAGAAGTCGTTGATGATCTCGAACGGACATGTGTTTTCCATGAGCTTTAACAGACAAAACCTTACGTTTGAGGTGCGCGATAAGCCTCGTGGTGGTGACAAGAAGGCCATGGAAGCGCTCTATCAACACATTTCGACGACATACGCACCTGATGCAGTGGGTATCGTGTACTGTATGACCAAGCAGGACTGTGAAGACGTAGCCAACTACTTGTTCGACCACGGATTAAGCGCTGATTTCTACCATGCAGGACAGTCAGCAACAGACCGACACATGGTACAGGAGGCGTGGCAAAATGGTCAGCTTAGTATCGTGTGTGCTACAATCGCTTACGGTATGGGCATTAACAAGCCCGACGTGCGCTACGTGATCCACTTCTCGGTAGCCAAGTCCATCGAAGGCTACTACCAAGAAGCAGGTCGAGCTGGACGAGACGGGAAGCCATCACAGTGCATATTGTTCTACAGTCCACGGGACGTCTCCAAGATGCGCAACATCCTGTCGATGCCTCAGAAAGGAATGACCAAGAAAACCCGAGCCGTTCACATGGAGAAGCTCAAGTCCATGGCTGAATACTGCGAGGACGACACGACCTGTCGTCGACAGCTGCTGATCTCGTACTTCGGACAGCAATTCCAGCGCTCAGACTGCAACAGGACGTGTGACAACTGCCGACGCACTCAACGTGCAGCTCGCATGAACCGCTAATCTATCCGTATCCTACCATCGACATTAACCTTAATAGCTTGCATGTACGTCGGAGCGTTGACAGCAAATAACAAAACAAAAGAATGGCTACATTGGAATCGCAGGTTAATCGTTCCACTGCTTCTTGCACTGCACACACTTGTAGAAGGTCGTGGACGGCTCGTCGGCTGACCGGATCTGGATCTGCATGAAGTAGGCCTTGTTGTACTCGCAGTGGGGGCAGCGAGCTGCTCACAACAGCAAGACACATCGTTAATATTGTATCCACTTCAGTTCCACTTAACAGCGACGTACTTTCAGTCTGGTCGACGTTCTCCCAGGCTTCGTCGCCGCCCAATACGTCATCCACCTGTTTGCGCTGTAGCGGCACCTTCTTCTCCACTTTTTCATTGATCTGGAACAGGTAAGGGCATGTCTGGCAGAAGAAACGCATGCCGTCGGACTATACAGATGCAGAGAGAACAGAGTCAGCTACAAGGCGATGTACTGCAGCAGATTATGCACGTACGTCGGGCTCCACGAGCAGGATGTTGCCGCAGGACGGACAGAAGTGCATGGTGAATGGTGTAGTGGATGGCTACAATGACTTGGACTACTTAAGGATCAGCCAATCAGAACACTGTATGATGATTTCATCCAATCGGATGGTAGTATCCAATTGTGCAAAGTGATGGAGGCGATTGCAGCAGCATGGGCACGCTGGCAGCGCTTCCACGAGCTAAATCGCAGCGTTTTGGAGCTAGATGTGGCGGAGATGGAGGCGCAGTTTGAACTGGTGGCTACAGGTCTCTCATTGAACGACAAGCAGGTCCAGGAGCTGTTCAGAGACGACGCACATGGTCTGATAAAGCTGTTAACGCCCCTCCCGATTGCTACAGATGACGTTAGACGCTTCCACTTTACTCTAGTGGCCTCTTCAGTCATTCTAGAAGGATATCTGCAGTCACTTGAAGTGCCAGAAGAACAGGCGACGCGGTTATTGGTCGGGAAGTTGGCAAGTTATGTGTTGCTGCCAGTATTGAAGATAAAGAGCCATGGTTCACTGCATCACGCCGCGTTGGGGATACTCCAGAGACTGTTGAATACACAGAGAGATCACGATGCGGTGAAGACGCTGTTTACTACAGTTCAGGGGCTCTTAAAAGAGGCTGGAGATGATGAACCAAGCTACGACTCGCTCTGCAGATTGCTGGAGCTTCTACAACAGGAAAACAAGTTGATGAACGAGTCAATGCAGGTCTGTGAGGTGGCTATGAAGACCTGGAAACAGCGACCACAGTTCTTACGGGCAGTGGTGCTGCATATTGTGCCAAAGCTGCTCGAAGACAGCGACAAAGGTGTATATCAGACTCTCCTGACGATGGTGCTGGATGCGTGGGACCCGCTGTTGACGACTTTCCCTCAAGAACTGTTGTATCTCGTGTGTGTCATGATGCCCAAGGGTCCACGTGAGATTATTGCAGATGTTAGACTGCAGAATCTAGTGTGCTATGCTCTTCGACACAATGACGCACTACTGCGCAAGCAGGGTCTTCACATTCTCAAGGTTGCTTTCTCTCACTGTACAATGGAGTCGAAGGACGAGAAACAAGCGTGGGTGGATACATGGCAGAGCTTCCTGACGGCCTCGGAAGTGATTCAGATGCACCATGAACAGCATCTGATTGAACAGGTTTGGCCCCAAGTTGCTGGTCTACTGAAGAGCTACTTGATCGTGGATTCAAACAAGCAACAGCAGAGTGAACAATGGCCAGTACAGCTGACGTTCGACTGGATGCAGAGTCTTTTGGTGCGGTTATTCGCCCATGACAACCCCGCCGTGAAGCGGCTATTTATCTCGAATTTTATGGAGACTTACATCGAAAGTTGGAGACTTTGGCAGAAAAATAGCAGCAAGGATGTTGATCGTAAAGCCTCCTTCTCCTGTGCTCCTGTTTTCCAGCATTTTGTGCTTCAAGACGTGCTACGTGCCTGCAACGACCCTATACTTTACAAGCAAGCACATCGAACTCGCTTCCAGGCGTTGGTGGCTGATTTCCTGGCTTCTTTCCTTGCTTTTCAAAGCGAGAACGAGCGTGTGTTGGACGATTTCGTTGCTGCAGTCGAAGAAGCGATTTTTGGTGAAGACGCAGACAGTCACTCGCCTGAAGCTTTGCTAAGTATGTTGCAAGTGTTCCAGTCTCCTCATCTGAAGCGTGCAGCCTCGAAGATGACACTAAGCAGTACAGCTGTAGACCGACTCCGGTTCTTGCTAGACGTGCATGCCATGCAGTCCTTCTCGCAAGCGATGCGAACGAAAATGCTTCGTGCGTTGAGTCACGCGCTCACTGGAGGGTTCGTCTGTGCGTCGTCACTATCGCTGTTGACGATAGCTCGTGTGCTTTGTGTCTTCCCCTTGAGTACTTTGGTAGCAAACGATGGTGAGGCGCTAGTGCATTCTCTAGCGTGGATGGAAGCCTCCTCTTCGGATGAAAACTCATTCTGCTTCACAACAGCTTTAGCAACTGCGCTTCAAACGTATTTGAAGACACCTGTGGAAGGAAGCGTGGAAGGTGTACTGAGTCCGAATCAACTGGCGAGATTGCTGCTCTTAACAGCAGAAAACGTTGACGAAGCAGAGGCTTTTCATCTCGAAGGAACGCCAGGACGTCGGGCTAACGTTCGAGTGATGTTGCGTGCTTCTCTCAGTGCCTTGCTGTCCAAGGTCTCGGAAGAAGTGGATACTGCACGGCTTGTGCTTGTGATTGCCAAGTTTGAAGACCAGGTTCAGGAGCTTGCGGATAGTTGCACGTCGAAATGCTTCATGTTCTCGTTTCAACGTGAGTCTTTCTATGCGGGGCAAGTCAACTGTTCATACCTGTTTAAAGCAGCCATGGCAGTCATCCGGAGCTGGCTGGATGGTGAGATGCAGTCTGGAGATCGCGAACTGGACGATATTATGGAGCTCGTTGTCTCTGCTGCATTGGTGGCCTCACAGATGAGTACACACACGATGACTTCGACTGGTGGGCTGGATCAAATGAACGTCCTTGATGCCCTTTGTGAAGAGCTGAAGGATGTTCTGGCATCGGCTGATCGAAGTGTATTTGACTTGGCATTAGCTGCAAAGTGTCTGTCCATTGTTGGCGAGAACACTGCTGCACTTGACTCTCTGCGTGCATTTGAAAGTGAACGTATTCTCCCCCTTCTACTCGCGCTGGATACGAGTCGACGTTACAGTGGAAAACTCGATGCGCGTTGTGCGATCAGCTTGGCTGCTAGCAAGTGGATCCTGCTGCATCGTGTCGTTGAATCCTCGTCTTTCATCGACACGAAACTATTGCGAGATATATACGACGCCTGCGTTGAGGCCTTGCCCACTGCAGGCATGGATCCTTCGGCGTTGATTCAGATGGTGAACGTGCTGTCGCTCACACTATCGCAACTGGCAGGCTCAATAGTGGCTTCAAATGGTGTTGAAGAACTCGACAGGTTGCTGGATGAAGTCTGGACGGCTTACAACGACAGCAAGGCTAAGCCTGATGCACTTACTCGAGCTGTCGTTATGTGTATTTTCCAGCCGGTATTCCTCCTGCGCAGTGAGCTACAAGCGACGATGAAGTACTGGATTGCGGAGTTTATCCGCTTTGGATCAAAACACAGACCCAACGTCATCTTCCACTTGGCTTGTCGATTATGCCAAACCTGGCGTGCTCATCCAGTGTCGGCGTTATCCTTCGTAGATGAACTCGTTGAACTGCTACTCTACAAAGAACCACTGATTGATGAGAAGGAGCAGCTAACGATGGATACTGGCGCTCCGTTCCAAGGCTTTCAGGGCTTCTCTCCTCTCGACGGCTATCAGACAGCAGCGATCACGACTCACGCTAAGGACAGGTTTGTGCGGCTTATAATGCTGAGCTTCTTGGACGACGTAGCAGTCGATAGAAGCTCTACGACAGAAGCTACCCAGCAGCTCATGAACGCACTGCTCGCTCGACTTCTTCAACTCAACGTGACTCCGGACTGGCAGAAGCAGCACATGCTTAACAGCGATGGATTCGGCAAGAAGTTGCGCTCGTGGCAGGCTTTGTGCATCGTCAGTACACATGTGAACAAGGCGCAGCTGACGGAGTTGATTCCCACGCTTCAAACTGCGTTTGCAGTGCCTCAACTGCCCAGTGTTCGCTACTACATGGAGCTCTTCGGTATGCGGATGGCTACCAAGTTCCCACGTGAGATCTGCTCTGGTCTGTTGCTGCCCATGCTCCAGGATGCGAATTTGATGCCTCAAGTGGGCGCGTCGCTGTTACTTGTGTCCGCTTACCTTGTGGATTCCAAGCTGGACGACAATAGTCTTGATATCGACTGTGGCGAACTACTGGAGACGATGTTACCGTGGCTCAACACGTCTCATGGATACACAAGGGTGCTGGCTCAGTATCTACTGGCCAAAGTTCTACCTCGTCACATTCATCAACTCAAACTGAGCTCGAATGTTACTCCCGGACTTCGCTTTTTGGAAGGTACGGCGCGTTATCTGAGCAACAACAAGGAGTGCAAACGCATGCTACGACGACAGGCTCGACAACTGGAGGAATTCCACCCTGACTACGAGAGCTCGTTGCTTGGAATGCTCTCTTCCGGCTTCATCAGCGAGTTCGGAGAGCTTCTGCCTCGCGACGAGGCTCTTCGCTTCAGCGAACAACTCAAGACAGCCATGAACGAGCTGTACGCGCAGTACCAGCTCGAAAACTTCACTCCGACGCCTTCACAGCAGAAGATTAACGCCGAGTCTGATAGTTCAAATGGAACTCTCACTGTGCAGCGTAAAATTGACACAACCGCTTTGCTGCTTGAGGACAGTGCACTGCCCTCTGCGATGCGAGCGGATTTCGATGCAGCGCGCCGTGGAGTCACTTTGAACGCTCGTCAACGACCTCGACAGCCTATCATCATGTGTGCCAGCTTGGTAGACAAGATCCCGAACTTGGCAGGACTGGCACGGACATGCGAGATCTTCAACGCTCAGAAATTGATCGTGCCAAACCTTCGGATGACGCAGCAGGACGTCACCTTTGCGACAGTAAGCGCTACAGCGCACAAGTGGATGCCACTGGAAGAAGTTCGACCGCAAGGCGACGATTTACGGCAAGCGCTTCTACGTTGGAAGCGCGAGGGTTACACTATTGTGGCCGTAGAGCAAACCGCGTCCAGTGTGAGTCTCGCGAACTACACGCTGCCACGCAAGATGGTGCTGGTTCTAGGGCGCGAGAAGGAAGGGATCCCGGTGGAAGTGCTGCAGCTGGTTGACGTGTGCGTTGAAATCCCTCAGTTTGGGCTTGTACGCTCGCTGAATGTGCATGTGAGTGGAGCTCTGATGCTCTGGGAGTACACGCAACAGCAATTGATGTCTGGAGCACTCGAGTCGACTCTTTAGATGGAGTTGAATACTGGAGAATTCCGTCCAAATACTCTGACAGAATTTATTTGTCGTAATACAAAATCCAAATTATGGCCAATAAATTCTGTCAAAATAATACCAAAAGATTTCAAAAATATTTTTTGCTTTTTAAAATTATTTTTAAAAAAAACTTCACTTTCGAAACATCCAGTTTTATTGATTTTTTTTAATCCCAAACCCTTCTATTATTATATTTTTATTATGTTGAAAAATAGTTTATGTAGTGGGTTTTGCAACTCTTTCGCGACTCCTTTCGCCGAAGCACATCAAAAGCTCCCTCGCCGCCATGACCAAAGTTTACATTCGACCACGGCCACTCGCCACGTCGGAGCAAGGAGACAAAACCATCGAGTATGTGATCGAAGAAGGAGGACGTCTCGTCGTCAATTCAGACAAGAAATTCTCCGGTTTTGCAGGACTTCTGTCCACTGAGAACGGCGAGGCCTACACGCAAGCAATCCGTCCGATGGTCTCTGGGATGCTGAATGGCACCACTTCGTGCTGCTTTGCGTATGGCCACACGAACAGCGGCAAGACACACACCATCTTCGGGTATGACTCAGAGCTTGGCATGTGCCAGCGTTTAGTCCGGGACCTGTTCACTGAAAGTACTAAAGACCTGCTCGTACAAGTCCGATTCTACGAGCTATACAACGGTCAAGTGTTTGACTTGTTAAATAATCGTCAGCCTGGGTTTGTTCGCGAAGATGCGCATGGAAGAATTCATGTTCGGAGTGCCACAACTATGGGGCCAAATGGAGAAGTATTGACTCAATCTCTCCATGCTGCTTATGGCGATTCGGCTGAAGCTGTGCTTGCAATTATTCGTCATGGTAGGAGTTTGCGTGCCGAGGGAACTTCGGAGCTGCATCATCAAAGTAGCCGCTCCCATGCAGTTTTAGAGCTGGAGATCGTGACTTCTGCACTCGCTAAAGCACGTCAACAAGTCGTGTTGGCTCAGTCCCGTGTAGTTCCTTTAGGAAAAGCCCGTGACGATCTGTATATTGCAATACAGTCAAAATTATATGTGATCGTAGATGGGAAAGCAACTGCGACGGGTGCTGAGCCATCACAGGAAGACCAAGATCGACTGGACACGCTACAGAGTCAAGTTGACGCTGCAGAGGCTGAGGTGGCAGCTATGAAAGCACAGGTTGATGCTGAAAAGGTGAAATGTAGCGGCGGAATGTTTGTACTTGTTGATCTCTCTGGCGCCGAGTACACAGGTGAAGGTTTGACTCGCAACTCCAAGGAACACAAAGAAGCTCGTGAGATCAATTCAAGCTTGCTGGCTCTCAAAGAATGTATTCGAGTACAGGCTCGACAAGGAACTGGCCACATTCCGTATCGGAACTCTAAGCTTACTTTGCTTTTGAAGTGTTATCTGGAGACTGACAATCCATCGTCTACCATTATGATCACAAATGTATCGTCAGCTGAAACCCACTTACGAAAAGCTTTGGACTCAATCAGATACGCAACACTAGTTGCTTCCGCTTTCAAGACGACTCAGGAATGAGAAGTTTGCTATTTAGAGGAAGCGTGTTGATAAATGTCAGTATGGTTGAATGTCATGAATCCTGATGATGCTCAGTTTTTTCAACCAACCCACAAAAATTTCCCTTTACTAAGTAAAATGATTGGGATATTTTTTCGTTCAACTCTGTCCATTTATGGGCGATGTCAACTAATTGTTTTTCAACTCCTGAAATTCCCGTTGCCTGTACTGCATATCTACTCCAATTCAGTTTGGCTTCCTTAAACTATTTCGACGTACTTGCCACAAGATTCGAGACCCCGGCCCTCTCCTCGTCGTCCATGTTCTCGATCTAACCACTTGTTGTTTCGGTACTCAGTATCTGGTCGCTCATATCAGCAGCATCGATTGATTGGAGAGACGTCTGAAGCTTGACTGCTGCAGTGTAGCTACTGTTGAGCAGGGTCGCCACACTTAGGAGTAGAAATAAGTAGACGCGCATGTGTTGGCGGCCGGTAGAGAGAAGTGTTGTGATACTTTACTAATTGTGTTGTGACAACTGCGTTTGCCGTTTTCTTCATGAAGGAACCATTCGCTTACACTTCAAAACCAGTTGGCGGTAGTATGAATGCCGCCTCTGGCATCACTATATTATGTCAGTGGTTGGACATAGCGTAATTATTACGCGTAATACCACCCGGACAAATCTTCTGCTTTGTTTACAACGCGCGGAAGCGTTCCAGATGTATTGATTTTGAAACAGCCAAATACGCGTCAATAAGCTCCCAGCGTTTGCTACTTGCGTCTGTCTTCTCTTCGCTTGACTGGGTGTCTTCAAGTGATGGCGCTGCTGCGGGGTGAAACTCAAAGTAAAGCTCCACGGCCGTTAACGCTGTGTCCATCCGCTTATCCTCCAATCTATACACAAACAATCAGCAAAGTTAACATTACAATAGGTTTTTGCCCAAGCAAAGCCATAGAAGCTTACAATAACGACAGGAGATAGTCGATGTCTCCAGTAGCGGCGAGATACTCCACGAAGCCCGGCTCAAGCGGAGTGCCCAGGATCGAAGCGTAGTCCTTTCGTCTTGCTGCTTCGGAAAAACTCTCTTGCATCAAGCGGCAGTTGTCAGCGAATTCTCCATTCTCTCCACCAATGTTCTCATCAAAAAAGCACGACGCGTCCAGCAGTTCATAAAGCACTGAACTGTATGCTCCAGCGTGAATAATTCTCATCAGCGCCTCGAATCGAGCACGTGGATTTGGAATAACCATGGCACATTTAACGGCAAAACCGTACAAATCAAGATGTCTAACGATTCCTGCTCCATCAGGTTCCTCCTCTGCCACCGCATTCAGATCTCGCAGATGAACCACCAATGCAGGCACGTCGATTTGGTCGAGAAAAGGACATCTTTGAAGCAGAACTACCGTTCTCTGCATGACCGAGCGCACGCTGGAGACGTGGATCCCAGCAAAGCGCAAGGAATCATCGCTATCCTTCGTTTCGCGACGATCTTGAGCAGTTTTATAGCGTTTTAACTGGTTATGCTTGCGCTTCAAATGGATCATCGGCGAGGTCAAAACCTTTTCCCACACTTGCTGGCCACAGCTCAATGATCGTACGAACGGCTTCCTGCTCAGTGACCCCATGATAGCCGCTAATGATCGAACCATTCCCAATTGCAACATGTTTGTCAGAACGTCCTCCCATAAATCCGTCGCTGCTACGTCAAAGTCAAGCATGAGTTGGCTGGCACAACGCAGCACCCAGCGCTGCTTAGGAGGGCATCGTCGCAGGAAACTACGTGTGAGGGCCTCTTTATCGCTCTCCAACAAGTGACTCATGTCGTAGGGTACTCGATGTTCTTCAAACGTCATCAAATGATTGTAGTGCTTCGAATGCTCCAGCAGTTCCTTAAAGAACAGGTCGGTGTTATCACTGCCGTACTTGGTAGTGACAAACCGCTCGACAGCAGCATGATACAGTTGGCCCAGCCGCAAGATCACACGGAGCGCCCTCATCTTCGCTCGATACGTGACACCAGCCCGTGGCCGCGGATCTTTAGCAAAATCGATGAGATAACTCAGAACTTGGTGACCAAACAAGTCTCCAGCCTTCACACTAGCACTCGTCAAGTAGAGGATTTTCTTCCCGAAATTTTCATCTGCTTGGTGAAGTTTTTCCTCCGTAATAAGCTCAAACGGATCCTCCTTGGTGTCTTCACTCGAATCCTCTTTCCCGATATGCACAGCGTCTTTGACGAGCCACTCACAAACCAGATCAAGTCGAATCTTCTCTTGTGGTAATTCAAGCAGATCTCCAATACTACTAGCCACTGCATGGAGCATGTCACTATTGTGATTGTAGAACACTAGCGCGTATCGTCTGTACAACTCTTTGAAGAGTTTTTTAGGCTCCGTCACCAATGTAAGCAGCTGATTTGTTAGTTCCTTGTCATTAATCACGTCCGCCACACTTGACACTTGCGATGTGGCATTTCGAAACAACATTTCCACTTTAACTCGTAAAATTTTGGTTTCCAGTCGTGCCTGAGCTTCATGTCCAATGAACGACGTACTGGACGGGTCTTCCGAGTCAGTTTGACCAAATACAGCAGCCTTTAGAGCAAATTCCAGAGCTTTCAGCTTCTCCCCGCCTAATGGAAAGTTCTCAGCGAGCCACTCAGCCGCAGTCACACGGCTCTCCGTATCGCTTAAACACACCAATATGTCTTCAAACGCACTGAACTTGACACTTGTTTCTCCGTCCACTGTCTTTAACTTGAAATTTGTGATCATATTCTTCAAGAGTAACATTTGGAGCTCATCGGGTTCCAGTCGAAGAGGCTCCACCAGTCCAACTACAGCGTTAAAGTTCTCCTTAGTCACCAGTCGAGACAGCACCTCTCGAGGTTTTGTGATAAGCTCATGAAATGAGACCTTCTTGTCACTATTCTCTTTACTTTGAGACGCAACAAACGCTTTTAAATGACGCAAAACGTCCACTCGTCGCTCCACTTCTTCTCGCTCACGATACACCGTGTTCTCGAGCAATAGCCGAAAAATAAATAGCAGCCGATCATAATCTCGACCCGAAATTCTTGGAATACTTTTCAGTAAAAGTTTCACCAAATGCTGCTCGTGAATTTCATCAATAACACCAACAATTTTGTCCTGGTACTCGAGGTTTGTAGAAGACTCGTCCAACAACAGAGCTTCAGCATAAACGAGTGACGGGAAACTGTCTTCGATCTGGTAGTGACGCGTGAACTCCAGTATCGTGTAAAAGTCATAGTTACTCCGAGTGATCAGCTGCGGCACGAGTCGACGAATGTACTGCAAGTCCCGACGTTCAGTTTGGAAAGCCTTGTGGTCGCACTCAATGCCAAGTAGATTGAGGTAATGCCACCACCTCGCATTGCCTTCCAACTCGACACATTGGTGCAAAAATGCGATTTGCTGCCAGGCTCTTGCAGCATCAGCACCAATGAACGCAAGCTTCTGGAAACGATTGAAGTCTTTCGCCACATTTTCACGAGAAATTTGCCTTCGAAAAGCATGAAACGCGTCCTCCTGCTTCATCGACAGCATCAATCTACAAAGACAAAGATTAGAAATGTTCTCAGTGCAACGACAACGAAACAGCGTACCCGAGAGCTAAATAGTTGTCGATCTCTTGTGACTGGAAGACAGTCGATAAGAGCTTCCCCATCTGCGTGTTGACGACGATCGCGGCGTCTTCAGGTAGTTCTTGCATGGACATCAACGCCTGTAGACTCAGCAGATCGGCCCGCTGTTCCACGAGGAACGACACGTAGCGCTTGGATGCGATCGTGTCTCTGAATTCGACTTCTCGTCTGAGATTCTTGTGCTCAGCAATCGCAAACCTGGTCACGAGCTTCATGGCTTCGTAGCTGGACAAGGCACATGCATCTCCTCGATACCAGCGAGGGTACAGCGTCCACGGTGCTGTAGTGTTCGAGACGTTGTGCTGTGTGAACTGTAGTATTTCGTTCACGAGCAACGTGTTCTTGAAGAGAATCAACGTCTCGTCGAACGAATCCTTCTCGCACATACAAAGCGCGTATCGTAGCAGCTCCAGCGTGTACATCGGCGCTTGAACTCGCGCCACTTGAGCTGGTAAATACTGCTGACTTCGAGTAAACGGCGTGTCGTAAATTTCCTTCACGTGGCTTGACGTGTACAATGAAAGAGATATCGCGGTTTTCTTTAGAGCTTCGGCCGGACGGAACTCGTGCTCTGAGCGATCGACTTCTGCGTTCGCTCTCTTGGAGAATAATTCTCGAGAGAACCGAACAGCTTGTAGGATGGAGCCACTGTTAGCAGCGCTCTGGGCGATAAGCGAACGACAGGCCTTGGCGTCGATACCCACGGCAGACGCAAAGCGATTTATGTCAAAGATAAGTCGAGTCCTCTTGTCGTCTTGCTGCAGTCCGTGACTCTCGATGTTGTGGCTTGTTCGCTGTCTCTTTTCAGCAACAGAAGAGCTGCTTTCATTCGACGCCAGAGCACGCTTTTTGCCTTTACCCTTTGCAACGTAGGTCACTGACACGGCTGGTTCTTGCTCGTTGTCGTCTTCAGCAAACAGGATATCGGGTTTTATCAACTGTTTCAGCTTCGCCTCGCACTTGTCTGGATCCCGTAGCGTTGAGATAGAAAGCAGGAGACCGAATTCCGCTTCAACCTGGCAAATCCTCTGCAAATCCGTCAATAACGTGTCAGATAGCAAATAGTCGGAGCTTTCAACGTATGCGATGATCGAGTCATCTCTAGTGGTACCCGCTAATTCCAACAGCGTCTTCAATTCGTGTAAATAAACGTCAACCAGAGACTTGATCATACACAGAATAAACGACTGCGACTTAGCATCGTCTTCTCCATTCATCTCCTCAGCCTCCAGCTCCAACAACGTCACGCCAAACTCGACAATTTCTTCCATAATGGACGCGTAAAGCATCACGTTGGACTTGGGATCTCTCCGTTTCTTGACTTCTTCAAATGCTTCCATCGCCTTGGTCACTCTGGCTGAAACCTCGTTTAAAAGACCATCCGTTGTCATTGTATCACACTCCGTTAACAAGTTTTCCGTATATCCAACTACTGCTCGATCGCAGCAGAGATCACTGTACGCATCAACCAACAGCATCGCATCCACAAAAGCTGAGGGTATTGAGACTTGGTTCAAGATGTGTGACACCAATCGTGACGCGCTCTTTGTATCGGCAATATCGAACTGCTTGATGCCATACTTGGTCAACATATCCTGGATCTCCATCAATCGCACATGTTCTTCCAGTTCATCTTGTCTCTCAGACTTCCACTGAGTGCAGTTGTGTGCGTGCTTCTTCAGTGCATCGGAATACGGAGGCAGTGTTGACCTCAACAAGGCCAGTGTAGCGTCAATACGAACGTTAGTATCCGAAATTTCATCCAGCAGCACTAGAGCTCTCGTTTCTTCAGCGGATTGAGGAGTCTGGATGGATTCTGCCAGTTCTTTAACGTAGTCGTGAAGAACTGGATCAATCTCAACGCTACAGAATTCAAGATATTTTCTAACATGATCCTCGATTGCGGTCTTGAGCGACGCAGTATCCAACACACGGTCAAGCATACTCATCGCGATAGTTGCAGGAGTTTCGTCTTCAAATACTGACAGTGAGATAACGAAATGGTGCTCCGCTGCGAGACGCTGGACGTGTCGTAGCTTTTCACTCAAACGTTCGATACGTTCAAAGACATTCGACTCCTCTTGAGCCGATCTCGACGTATGCCTCCTAAACTCGTAGAAGGAAAGCATCGCACCGTTCTCTCCACTTTCAGGTTTAAGTACATTACAGATGCGAATAGCGGTGTCCAAATCACTGTTAGCTGCTGTATCTTCAGCCCTCTTCAGGACCCAGAGCGCTACCTGGTCAAGCAGAGGTCTAGTTCCAGTCTCTGTAGTCGTATCTGCTTCAAGGGATTGTGTTTGGTCAGCGTGATGGATCAAGACTGGTATAACTTCGTTCTGGAGCCAACTTGCATACACTGAGACTGGGAGCGACGCGGGAAGGTTCTCCAATAGTGTACCAATGTTGCGAACGCTAGCGTCATCGACGTGGCGTCCCCACATTATCCTGACGGCTCGCATCGAGCCCAATTTGAGGTATTTTTCCAGCAATTCAACCACAGATATCGCCCGAAATTGATGCCATTGTTCACGTAGCGTATTTCCTTTTGTTTCTGCAGTCGATGAGCTTCGGAGTAGCTGAAATGTGGTCCATTGGTACGACAATTCACTGATTTCATCACACCAACGCAGTAAACTTGCCATGCGTAGTGATGACCTTGGCGATGAACTTGTGTACTCGCGGATATTCGATGCAACATGAACTAAATCTTTCAAAATAACACGAGTTTCATCCTCGTTATCTCCAATACTGCTCGTACAGACTTTCAGCTTGCCTTGATACTGCTGTATTACTCCTTTCTGCATGAGGGACGACATAGGTGTGTCCACAAGAGACTCGGCTATCGTGACAGCATCTTCCTCGAATACCGTTTCTCGATCTTCACTCTCAACACTTTCGTCTGCTTCACTTGTCGAATTTTCGACATCTTCTCGCAGCAGAACCATGGTGACCCCACGGTTGGTTTGGCATGCTGCGAGCACTTGACAGCGACTAATATCACTAGTCGTCGCAAAAAGCACTACGTTGTGTACGATATTGGACTTCAGGCAATCGATCCACTCCAGTCTTGAGACCACTTTAGCGTTCGCAGCACCAGATTCTGTACGCCGAATCCGAACCAATTGAAACGTTGACATTGATGTCCCGTCATCAGAAGACCCGACAGCGAGAAGCAAGGTAGATTCTGCCCCGTTCTCTCCACAGCTTCTAATCACTGCAAAGCTCATTATTCTGAAAATATCTGCCTCGAACAACTCGGTCATATCGCGCCAGTTCCACCTACCACAGAGTACACAAGGCGGTTAAATATGTCCTCTCCAGTACACTATGCTAACTCAATATCCATACCAAGACAGTTTCCCTTCACAAAGAATCACGAGCGCGTTGTAGTTTGCATCAAAGTCCATTGCTTCAACGAGAGCTGATCTGGAATCATTCACTGCCACTTGCTAGACAGTAATTCAACGTAAAATTCTCACAACCCTTGATATATATATATTAGCTGCACGTACCTCAATTCCAGATTGTTTCTCATTATCCCTCGTCTTCCACACACTTAGAAATGCTTCATGATTCCCTAAAAACACAAAATTCTCCGCCTGACACCGCTGAACCTACAACAAATAAAAAAAGCTAGCCATTCAGTAATACTGTAAAACTAACATACATAACCTCTTCGGTTCGTACCAGCATACAGGACTGTGCATTTTCCTTCAGCCGTCCAACACTCGTCCGATCAAAGCGAATGATCCTCAGAATCTCACTCAGCGCCTCCTTGGGCTTCTCCAGCAGCAATTCCTCGAATTCCGCGAGCTTCAAGTTACCCAACAGCAATAATATTCCATGTTTTGTCACCACCACCACCTCCTGCGCGCCACTCAAGCCTTGTGAAGTGGCAAATTTAATTGAAACGACACAGTCCGAGCCCCCGCGCACCACTTGGTGTCCGAACAATAGTGTACCATTGCTCTTGTATAGAGACAACGTTCCTGTAGCGTCTGCAAGCGCTAGAAATTTTCCACAGATGCTGAAGGCCATCGCCTGCACCTTTTCATGGGTCTCGATGGTTATCTGCGCTGCATTTTTCGCTCCGTCGAGATCTAATACGTCCACGAGCTGCACCTGAGTCCTGTCGCCTACTATAACTGCACATTTAGACCCGTAAACGGCGATCCACGGCGCCTTTTGGTCCTGAATTGAAGAATGTATGGATTCTAGCTGTGAATTTTGGGTTGTTGTTGAGGGCAGCTCACACAGCAGTGACGCCGTGAATTGCAAAGTTTTGTCGTTTACGCTGCTACCATTGCCTTTATCTTCGCGCTGGACGGTGTAATGAGTGTTAGTACTGTACGTAGCGAGCTAAACACAAGATGCATGGGGAACATACGCTCATATTCGCCGATGGAGAGTACTTTCAATATGATGTGTAACACATGAAACAGTATTCTAGTTTAGAGGAACCATATTCTATTCAAGGGAGCTGATAAAATTGAAACTCGTAAATTACGAAAAAGTGCAAAATTGGCGATAGGAATAAATAGATTCGACGTCTTGGATTGACGACGTCTTGCGGACAGCGCAATGATCACACCTGCCGCTCTCTTGTCGACGGCTCAAACGGAATTTGTGACGCTTTCGTTCCGCGGGTTTGCGGTCTGGTGGATTGTCATCTTTGGGATTCATCTGGTCACGTTCATTTTTCACGCGTGTTACGCCAAGTTTTACTGGATGTTCGGCTCCACAGTTTTGAGCTATTCTTTGGATTCGTATGACGTTGGAATGCCTCACAAACACTTTCGTACAATTTCGTACGTGCACATGGTTGTAGCCTGTCTGAACGGTGGGTTGTTACTGCTCATGGTTGTCGGATCACTGCGTAGACGCAACTTGGTATTTTATCCATGGTCACGGTCGATTGTAAAGCGACCGAAGAAAACACTGAAAAACAATGCGGGTGCAATAAATTACCACGTTGGTAACGAAACCTCAAACCAAATTATGGGTAAATCAACCATCCAAATGCTTCGAAGGGCAACGGCGACCTATGCAAATATCGCTAACCGACGTGGTGCTATTGGCGTTAATGGACGCTACTTTTACATAATTCTCGTCTGTCGGGAAATTGTCGAGACGACATTTCAAAGTGTACAAGCTTTTAGAATGAGCAAGTATCTGTCACGTTCCGTTTTGAATCGCTTTTACGTCAGTTTACTTGTGATCAACTGCTGGTCGTCCGTATTCGTACACACTCGTCTATTTAGTAACGATGAGGCTCGTCGAAGGCTTGCCGCGATTGTGCTTGATTGTACATTGGACCTGATGTCTGCGATGGGGGTCTCAATTATGATAATTGTAAATTACGTAAATGAATTCGATGCTGAGCTGATGAGTTTCAGCTTCGAACTACTAGAAGACAACGACTGGATGGCTCAGATGCTCGATGAAGCGAGACTTGTACTGGTATCTTCATGGTCAGACCTGATTTCTCGAGTTGTATTTGCACTTGGGATCATCGCAACCACTGCGAGTATGAAAGAACTACTACGCTGGAAACCTGATCGAGGGAATCGCATCACACATGCACAAGGTCCTAATATTGCTGATGTCAAGCATCGTGGCACAGTTGAACCAATTGTTTCTCGCCAGCCAGCACATACAGTTATGGGTGCAAATAATGACGGTACTGCAGAGCAACCAGGAAGCTATAAGTGTCTGATTCCAAGGAATTTTTGGTGTTACAACGCGCATTTATCGAATCGAACCAGGCGCATGATTTTTATTTTTGTTCACTGCATATTTTTCGCATGGGGTGCTGTGATTCTAGCTTTACACGTCCAAGCATCTTCGAAGACGCCCTTAGTGGAATGTAGCCCCAAGGTATATCCAATGGCCGGAGCGCTTCCGGCATGCTTTGCTGTGGAATTTGACTGCTACAAAGTGGGGATAACTGGCGCAAAAGTCGATGTTATAGATCAATGGAAGCGATTTGACCACACCACCGTAGTGAAGTTACACATTCTGCATTGTCCTGAGCTAGAGGTCCCTGAAATGTTCCAAGAATTTATTCGACTGCGTGAGATCTGGATCTACAATTCGACTATTCGGGACTGGGGGCCAGAAGCAGCCGTCACAAATTCGTGCCATCCTAACCTTACTGTGTTATCCATGATTCGAACCAACTTGACAGACGGACTGCTCCCTCTCGGCTTTCAATCCGATGATTTTCCGATTAACCTCACACAGATCAACTTTTGTGAAACAAATCTCCGGACACTACCCGACGATATCGATGGCAGGTGGAATTTTAATGCGAGTATACACATCGAGAATAGTCAGCTGTCAGCGATACCATTGTCACTCATACGACTGCAACCAATATCTTTATCACTCACAGGTAACCCCATCAACGAGCTACCCTCTAAACTATTCGAAACTCCAGATATCCAGTATATTTCTGTTAGTTATACCGATGTGGTAGAGCTACCTCGCAATGTGGCACAACCACCATTACACCCAATGGTCATCGACTTAGCTGGCACAACTATAGCGTTCTTCTGGTCGTGGATTGATCCATTCATTGAGAATGCGATAGGAGACACTCTGCAAATTATCGCGGGTGGAACTCCTTACTGTTCAGATCTGGCCACGATTTTCAACGGATTAGTCAGCAACTTCAGCGCTGTCTTCCATCAGGGTTACTCTCAGTATTTGATGAATGCATCCGAGAGCAATTGGAATATTATCCGCCAAGCTATTGACTGCGATACTCGTACGTCTGTCAAATTTCCTCTTGAGTCGTGGGATGCTCAATACGGAATGGAATTTCAGTGCTAGCAAAATGAATGGGATACACTTTTCGCAAAATAATAGCAGCTTAATTATGACGTCGAGGGGTTTGATACAACGATACTTCAGTGTTTTTAACCATAAAAGGTTACTTAAGTAATGAGAATGAATGGGTCGCCACAACTAGGGCTTCGCGAAGACTGAGATAGGAAATATCAAACGCGCTACGGAATCGACGCTGTTATGATGACGTATCGGTAAACGTCGACTACAAATGAAGTAATTGGCGAAGCTTCGGTGCGCTAGATGTATTAACATGCCCGTAGTCATTTGGCTGAATTTGACCTAGAATCAGCTTATAGACCAAAACCTAACTTGGACTTTGTATGAGGGCGTTCGAAGCAGCTTAAGTGCGATGTGTTGTCTACAACAACTATTCCTGATAAATGGAGCTACTCTGGAGGCTTCCTAGTCTAGAAATTGTGGTTTTTGTCCTATAATCAAGGACAAAACTCACATCGCTTTGTTATTAGTGAAAAATTTCATGCTTCAAAGTAATAAATTTCGCCCCTGTATACAGCAGTTGACACTACGAAGAATATACCACGTATATAACTCTTTAAATAGTACATGTATTAATATATGACCTTGGCTGTAATACCTCACAACTCTCGAAGCCAAGGCGCTAACTTTTGGTCCAATTTTTGGCCCTAACATTGAAAAATGAGAATTAAAACTAAGGGCAAATAGAACCTAAAGTTAGCTAGCGCCTTGGTTTCGAGACTTGAAAGGCCTTACTGCCAAAGTCATACAACGGAAATTCCCGAATAATACCCCAGGCACTATTTAGTGGCACCCTCGTCTTATACTGGTAGCAACCCTTTACTAATGATAGTTACAGCTAGCCTTTATCACTGCAAACAATTCAGTCGTCAGCAAAGCCAATCCTTTTGCGTACAAGGTCGTCGATGATCGCGACACTTGTGTACAACCGATGTGCAACGATGGTCAAGTTCAAGCTCAGACAACTCGGCCGACATGCCCGGTGAGGAGGTGATTGCGGTCGGCGTGATTATGAAGATGATTATAAAGTGCCTTTGATTATGGGCAGTTTATGTTGTTGGCATGTTGATGTGGCACAAGCCTCCTGCGCACTAGGAGCCACCTAGTGCTTTATATGTACCAGGACTAGCTGTAGCTCTGATTTTTCTTCTGCTCATTAAATAAATTTGTCTTTTCGAGACAATCCGGATATCGCGATATGAAGAGTAGTGCTAGGATTTTCTTGTTGGTTTTTTTTCTGATAAAATAGGGCATATCGACGAGGCTAGAGAAGGTTTTAGGTCATTTATCGCAGTTTAAACTACTAGAATGACTAGATGTACACTGCACCAAGTTTATCAGTGAGGTCATTACATAGTTACTCGATGAGGGCACTATTCGTACTTGAGTTCACCAAACTGGTAGACTTGCTTTATATAAAGTCCCGTGATAATACTGTCAAACTTGAAAAGTCGATACAATGTAATGATAGAAGAAACCCCAGTCAAATAAGATCAAAATCAAGAGATTTGGTACAAATTAGCCTTCATACCGATTTAAACCACGTGCCCATCTATTCAAAGCTGATTTCATCGGAAATGAGCTTCAGAAAGAGTCACAGTAGAGACTTTGGATAGTCCGGTGTGTCGTCGGATACTTCCATAAATTTGCAGATTAAAAATATTTCGTTTCAATCCCACTAAACTTCATAAATTTGCACCAGCCAGCCGCCATAACGTGATCAACTTGCAACACTTGATCAATAGTTGTTCTACGGGCAGTATTAGCTAAGGGAGGTTAATCTGTACCACAATACCATCACTACTCTTCATAATCTGTTGCACGCCAGCAGGGGCACTTCATATTCATCATCAGGGCACTTCACACTCATCACCAAGCAAGGGTTGGAGCGCGGAGCTATAATACAGCAGTATTATAAATATCCCCACAGGATACCCATCTCGTAAAGCAAGAAGCGTAGGATTCCTGTCACATTATAGTGCAGAAGACGCCATACAAATACGCTTGTACTGGAGTTGTTACATGTGCGGGATACACCCTACCATGGAGAAGTTTTCGATTATATTTCTCTAGCAATTTCACCGCATTAATGGAACAGCCCTCGTGCAGGTACTTATTTGGCTTTAGCAGCAGCGATCGCCATCTTTGTGGAAAAGTCGAGGTACGCAATTGCTATTCCGTCCCATTTGGCTTGGGTGTACTTGCCAAGCAGAGCTAAGGCATTGAATATCAGCTGGGGGTCGACATTGTCCTTGTGCCATGTGCTGAACATCTTGTCTTTAAATTTGGGGTTCTTGAGTATTGCCTCTATCGTAGCGTCATCCAATTGGTCTGCAATGTTCTTCACTTGCGCGGCCTTCGCCGCTGCGGTGTCAGCTGCTGCTTTCACTTGGACTTTTGCGATGGCTAACGCCTCCTTGATTTCTTTGATACGCTCAGCCTTCCGTAGATTTTTTAGCTTCGTCCACCCGGAAAGTCCATTCAGACCTCGTTCTTCCTCTGGGTCTTCATGCGTGTCGACCGTTTCTACAGATTTCAAGACTCGGAAGAACGCCTGGTTTACAAGATTCCCCGCGTCAATTGCGTCAACAGTATCTGGCGAAGTCACCTTCTGCCTCAATCGCGAGTGTGTCATTGCGTCCGTTGACCGGGCATTGGTGTCTGCAGGGAGAGCGAATCCAGCCGTCGCAAGTAGAACAAATGATAGACGCATTCTCTGAGAGATAAAAAGTCCGGGACTTGGCACCTTGGCAGTTGTTTTAGAAGTGAATGAGGATTCCTTGACTCAAAGACCTTGATCGACTGGCGAGGAGACTAGTAGTCTCAGACTACATGTACATGTTCATGCACTCGTACAGCGGTGGGTTCAAGCCCGTTCCGTGCACTTGCAGATCATCTGCGAATTGCATTATACCCTAGAATGCTTCAATTAAAAATCCTAGTATACTCAAAACCATTCTGGTAAATAGTCCATTAGAGGTCCACATTATGTAAACAAGAATTGTCCATAAACTTATCCGCATTAAATGATGCAGGTTATTAGTTTTGTAGTGTACTTCGGTTGAGGCACTACTTACAGTACTGTATACTTGTTCCAGACAATCATGTGTTTGGTATTTAAATGGGCCACAGTATTTTTTTTGTCAAAGATCGCACTCGTCCACCAGCCAAACTAAGAAGTACGGAGTTCACTATGTACAACCCCCCTCGATAAGCGTCGGGATTAGACGGCGAATTTAGATTTACAAATTTAATAACTACACATTCCAGCGCTTCCAGAAAAAATAGCAAACAGAATCTGTAAGCTATTTTTCTATATTACAGATTCGAAAGGACCACCATGATTGCGTGCGAACGTCAACATTAGATAGTCAGCATCAATGCATATCACATGTAAAAAAAAAATCCCCCTCGATATGCATAGCTCGGGATTTGCATACCCTGTCATATCTGCTGATATGGATTTGACAAAATATACGTGTTTTATGTTCAACAGTTAATATCCTCTGAAATGGTATATGCAATGTCGCTTGACAGCTTCATTCCTAATGACTCCAATTTGGATGCTATGTTTCGTGTACTTATTTGTCCATTTAGTGCGCTTTCAGTAGTTCCACCAATTATAATTTGGTTTAATTAAATTCCTTGTCAGCCTTAGTACCGGTACAAGAACATAGAGCCTTATTAACCCTTGAACTTGATAATATGACCATATGTTAATCGTAATTGTCTCATCTCGGCTGATTTAGGGCAGGGATGGTGAGCCCTTTAACCATTCGTCTATGTTTCTCCGTCGATTGGCCCTTAATACACGCTGGCGAGTAGAGGAAAAGCTCACTGAACTATGCTCCTTATTAGCATTGATAAATGTGGACTGACAGCACAATATATGCATCGCTGCTTGCCGGTGGGGTGCACTCCTGGGGGTGGGGGTATGGTTTGCGGGTAAGTTACCGATAAAATCTCGAAGGAGATGTCTTCTAGCGTATGAAAGGGCCATGGATCGGACGAAGTGGGTTTTAAATATTTTCGCAGCCTAGGGTTTTATTTCCCAGATTAGCGGTGTCCAACTAGGTATCATACAGTACAGTACTGCGTAGTATGTGAGTTTAGCTGCTGTTGTATGAAATACTGTAAATCAACAGAATGTTGGACAATAGGTATGTCGAACCTTCGAATAAGCAAAAAAATATCAGCAAAAATCAGCGTAGAACATAAGCAGTCATCTTCATCAAATATGTATAGGAGGACTCACTATTAATAAAACATGCACAACTTCCCCTTGACAGAACAGGTGGCTCAACACTTGGGAAGATGGGGGGAAGATTTGCCCTGTGATAAAGGTCGTCTGTTTGGCGAGCTATCCGTGTGCAGACACATTACTTATTGATGAAAATTCCCTCCATAATATAAGCTGATTATTTCTAACATAAGCCACCTCATGAGGTGGCTTCGACGAAGAAAGGGATATAAGCACTTTCTTGGAAAAAATATCAGCAAAAATGCAGCCAAAATATCAGCAGCATTTTTGCAAGGTTTGACTCCCCATGTTGACATCATTTTTTGTAAATGATACGGTAAACTTAGAATAGCAAGATAGTTTGCACTGAGACAAAGAAGAGCTACTGGAACGCTTGATGACGACACCAGGCAGCGAAACTGTCGAGGTGCAAACAGTGACTAGGTTAGGGTTCGTACTGAATGTTCTCTGGATATTTATATCC